CTTCTATTGCATACAAAAACACTACACTTGTACTCTCCCCCATTCATTTTGTATTATTATATTCAGAGTTTTCTTCTTTTTTTATTTAGTATCAATTAACAATATTTTATCTTTTAACTTTTATATTAGGGTTAAAAGTGATTTATGCACCACACTGCATTTCATTAATCTGTATTTGTCTATATATTTACATTTGCCAATGAGATTTATGCATACATCTGTTTTACAGTGCTGTTTAGTGTTTTTCCATTTCAAATTTAAGATGTCTCTTAAGAATTTCTTGTAAAGAAGTTGTAATGAAGATGAACGCCATCAATTTTTGGGGGGGAAAGACTTTATCTCTCATTTGTAAAAGATAATATTGTTGTTATAGTATTCTTGGTTGGAAGTTTGTTTTTTTCAATACTTTATATATACTGTTCCACTCTCTCCTGTTCTACCAAAGTTCTGCTGAGAAATCTGCTTAAGGTCTAATTTTTTAAAGTATATCTTTATTGTTGAAAATATTACAGATGTCCCTTTTTTTCTCCATTAACCCTTTCTAGCCCCCACTCACTCCCCACCCCAAGCCTTAACCAAACTATTGTCTGTGTTCATGGGTTATGTATATATGAATATAAATTAATGAAGAAGGATCTCATAACCTTTCGGACAGTATGGATGGACCTGGAGAATATTATGTTAAGCAAAATAAGCCAAGCAGAGAAAGACAAATATCACATGATCTCACTTATATGTGGGATCTAAAGAACATAATAAACTGATGAACAAAATAGATTCAGTAACACAGAAGCACAGAACAGATTGACGAATCTCAGAGGGAAGGTGGAGTTGGGTGGGTGGGTGGTGAGATATTAAACATATGATGGTTTCTTCATATATTAACAATCACTTTTACCTGTCTGCTTTCAAAATTCTCTCTGCCATTGACTTTTGACAATTTGATTATACAATCACGTGCCACATAATGATATTTCAGTCAATTATGGACCACATATACAACTACAAGTCCTGTGAGTTATAAGGAGCTCAAAAATTCCTGTCACCCAGTGGCATCATAGCCTTTGTGATGTCATAGGACAACGCATCACAATACAGTAATGTCTCAGGCCTTCACATTCACTCATCACTCACTCACTGACCCATCTAAAACATCTTCTAGTCCTGTAAGCTCTACTCATGGTAAGTGCCTTAAACAAGTATACTATTTTTTATCTGTTAAACTGTATTTTTACTGTACCTTTGCTATGTTTAGATATGTTTAGATACACAAATATGTATCATTGTGTTACAACTGCCTACAGTATTCTGTAATGTAACATGCTGCACAGGTTTGTAACCTAGGAGCAATAGACTATACCATATAGCCTAGGTGTGTAGTAAGTTACAATATTTAGGTTTGCACTCTATGATATTTGCCCAATCACAAAATCACCTAAAGATACATTTCTCAAAACCTAGGTTTGTCTTTAAACAACATATTACTGTAATGTTTCTCAGTGTAGTCATATTTGGATTCATTCTATTTGGACATTTTGAACTTCATTATTGTGAGTGTCAATTTTCCTCTCTAGATTTAGAAAATTTTCAACCGTTATTTCTTTAAATGAGCTTTTCCCCTCCTTTATCTCTCTTTTTTCCTTCTTGGACTCCCAAAATGCATACACTATTCCCTTGCTGATATCCCATAACTCTTAAAAGTATTCTTTCCACATTTTTATTCTTTTCCTCTTTCTCCTCTGACTGAAATATTTCAAATAACCTATATTCAAGTTCATAGACTCTTCCTTCTGATTAAATGAGTTGTTATTGATGCTCTCTACTGTGTTTTTCTTTCTTTCTTTCTCTTTCTTTCTTTCTTTCTCTTTCTTTCTTTCTTTCTCTTTCTTTCTTTCTTTCTTTCTTTCTTTCTTTCTTTCTTTCTTTCTTTCTTTCTTTCTTTCTTCTTTCTTTCTTTCTTTCTTTCTTTCTTTCTTTCTTTCTTTCTTTCTTTCTTTCTTTCTTTCTTTCTTTTTCTTTCTTTCCTTTCTTCTTTTTCTTTCTTTCCTTTCTTCTTTCTTCTTTTTCTTTCTTTCATTATATACTTTAGCTCCAGAATTTCTGCTTGGTTCTTTTTTTATGATTTCTACCTCTTTGTTAAACTTCTCATTTTGTTCATGTATTATTTCCCTGATTTCATTGAATTGTGTTCTCTTGTAGTTTTCTGAGTTTCCGTAAAACAATTATTTTAACTCTTTGTCAGGCAATTCATAGATCTCCATTTCTTTGGGGTCAATTTTTATGTTCATTTGGTGGTGATATTTTTCTTGATTCGCCATGTCCCATGTAGCCTTGCATTTCTGTCTGAACATTTGATGCAGCAGGCAGCTCTTTCATTCTTTATTGTCTCACATCAGTGGGGAAAAATCTTCACCTGCAACTAAATTGGCTGGGTGGGTGGAGTGACTCTGGGTCTAGCTGTTACAGTGTTAGCTCAATATCTGGGTGCTGGAGAAGGAACAGCACTGTTGTGTTTGAGCTGTTCCATAAGATGAAGTAACCATTGGCAAAGACTATGAGAATATTTGGCAGACAAGTCTCTCTGGGTATCCATGGTGGCCATGAGGGCTACTGGAGTGCTCAGTGGCAAAGGCTGCTAAGGTCCACTTGCTCTCCTTTTCCCTCCTAAGGTAAAGTTATAGATTATTGAATCTCTCTTGGTAACAGGACCTGGTGTACAGGTGTAGTCATGGCAACAGTTTTCATTTATAAACTATGAAAACTCAGAGACTTCTTATCTATTTATTATTAGTATTATTGTTATCATTATTATTATTTTATATCTGCTTACCTTCATTACATCAAGACAAGGATAAGCTAATTTCTGTGTGGTCACAGTTACTATTTTAATTCCATTTTTATAACAGCAAGTATGACATTATACACATATGTAAACCTAATACCTTTTTTATCACAATTATGGATATCTTGGGCTAAGCAAGATTATTATATTTAGCTAGGAAAATTAAATATTTACTATGTTAGAAATTAGGTCACCAATATATATCTCCAAATGTTTTATGCTGTCTTATTATAAAGTAACAACACAAAAATTTTGTACAAAGTCTTTTTCAGAAACTATTATACCTGAAAAATAATGACAGAGTTACTTCTTAAGCTCACACTAATATATGTTGGTACAAATATATTTTTATTTACAAAAGACTTTCTGTCAAATGTTGATCACTTCCAAGACACCAAGATTTGAACCAAATATGAGTTAAGAGGTGTTTAGTCTAGGAAACCGATCATCAGTTCATCACTGTATCTTCATCATAAAAACAACTTTTATCAAGGGGGTTGATAAAATAAAAATCCTGTTACAAAACAGCACTGAAGAGAAGAAAGAATGTGGAAAGGGCAAATACTCTGGACTTAACTAGACATGAGATACAAACTTAGCTCTGTTATTTACTAACTTTCTGGGCAGAGCTGTTTCACACTGTGTCTCTGTCTCTTGATCTTCAAAATGGGAGTATTGAAAATGGTTCCCCCCTTGGGAATATGGTAAGAATTAACTAAGTTAACACGGTAGATAGAAGGTGAATAAGTTCTCAGCATCTAATGTAAAGTATTGTAATTGTAGTTAATGCTTTTATTATATACTTGAAAGTTGTTAAGAGACTAGATCTTAAATGTTCTCACCACACAAAAAGGAAATAATTATGTGATGTGGTGTAGATGTTAGTTAACACTATGGTGGTAATAATATTGCAATATATAAGTATATCAAATCAACACATTATGCACCTTATACTTATATAATGTTATATGCCAATAAAATCTAAATTTAAAAAATGAAACTAAAGGGAAAAAAAATAGGAGATAGTTCATAGTAACTGGTAATTTCTTACTATTGTTATTATCCTTTTACTTATTATTAATTTTAATCTTATCTATGTGTTGCTTCCAGTTACCATGAATCCAGAAAAGTATGCATTTTTCCATTATTCCCCACTGTGAGCATTGGTTGAAGATTAATTCTCATAATTCACCATGAACTTTTCAATTTTAGATAAGGAAGATGAACAGAGCTATACCACATTAAATTCAAAGTAGTTTATTGCACTGACTTAATTCAATAATTCCCCCCTTTGCTTTTCTCTCCAAGGTAAAGACCCACAATGCTTGAACTTCTAGGAGCCTAAAAGAAGAGAAATGAGGTTGCTACCAATGTGCTTATCATATTATATTGAATTTACCTGAACTATTAGATTAGAAACCTATGGCCCCTTAGAACATCTTTGGTTGTCCCTTATTACCCCCCACTAAAATTAAACTGTATCTATTTAGACATTCATGCTTGCTGAAAGTTGTAATCCATACCTAATTCCAAAAGAGATGTGAGGGGTGGTTTTATGATCAAAGCCAAAAAATAATTATCACAGGTAAATGAGAAAAAAAACTAGTAGCAAAAAGGAAGGGGACATTCCTTCCACAGGCATCTTTCTCATATTCCTTTCTTCCACCTTTTTTTCCTTGCTTACTCTTTGTTTTACTTCTTTTCTTTGGCCCCTGCTGACAATACCACAAGTCTGCCAGCACCTTCACTTAGCCGAGGAGGTAGTATTCCAACTAAAGAGACTGTAGCCCAGCCAAGATGAATTCTCAGAACTACCATTTAGTAGTAAATTATTTAGAGAAAGTTGAAGTAAGAAGCCTGGTATGAAGCTAAAGGAGGCAACCTTTAGCAGATGAAATAGGTAGCATTATAAAAATTAGCATTGAATCCCTCTACAAGAAAACAATGGAGATAATTCAGTGTTTCCTTAAAAGGGATTCTGACCTGTAACGGTTTTCTAGTTTCAATGTACAAGTTAGAGGTAGGGTTAAGCATACTTCTTTAGTAACTGCTTACAATCAAAGTATACATATTATTCTCCTGCTCCCCTAAGTCCTCTTCTCTCCCATCACAGACTAAATCAATGAGTCACCTGCCTTGAATTTCTGAAGACACTCACCTGTATTACAATTAACATCATCAGGTTCTGATTCTGTCCCATTTTGGCTTCCATTTCCCTGAAGAGTGTTCATAGCCATAAGCTTCATCTTCTGTAGCTTCATTGCCTCAGCCATTGCTGCAGCCGTTATACCTAAAACCAGAATTACTTTTAAAATGAGGACAACTTAATGTAATTGGAAGCTGGACAAGTTTACTTACCAGGACTATGCTACACAGAATAAGCCAAAAGTAAGCCCACCTCTAATTTATAAATAATATTCTTTAACAAAGTACATTTCAACGCCTATAAATGACTTCATCTGGATAAGTTTATTTCATGTTCATAGCAGCGCAATTCACAATAACTAAGATTTGGAAACAACCCAAGTGCCCATCAGTAGATGAGTGTATAAAAAAGCTGTGGCACATTTACACCATGGAGTACTATGTGGTTGTGAAGAGGAAGGACCTTTTGGTCTTTGGCACAGCATGGAGGGAACTAGAGAGTATTATGCTAAGTGAAATAAGCCAGGCAGAGAAGGACAAGTACCAAATGATTTCACTTATATGGGGAATATAATAAAATAAACTGATGAACAAAGTGGACCAATAACATAGAAGCTTGGAACAAACTGAGGGATCTCAGAGGGAAGGAGGGGAAGGGGTGTGTGTGGGTGGGGAGAGATTAATCAGGGAACTTTTATGTTTATGGGCATGGCCCATGGACTTGGACATTGGTGTGGGGAGGGCCTGGAGGTGGGATGGATGTGAGGTGGAGGGGATCAGTGAGGTTAAAAGGGGGACATCTGTAATGGTCTCCACATGATATCAAGCATTCAATTACAAAATATGTTAACATAGTACAGGGGAGTATATCTCTCCTACTTTGGGGAGAGTTATTTTTTATCAGAAATGGATTTTGAATTCTGTTGAATGAAAATTTTTTGTGTGTGTCTATTGAGATGATCTTATGGCTTTTGTTTTAGTTTGTTAATATAGTAAAATTCATTGATTAATTATCAAATGTTATGACAACCTTGAATTTCTAAAGTAAATTCCACTTGGTCACGAAATATATATTTTGGGATTCAAATTGGTAAACTTTTGTTTAGAAGCTTTGGATCTAAATTCATAAGGAACATTGGCCTTTACTTTTCTTGATGTGTTCTGGCTTTGATAATAGGTTTTTATAGACCTCATAGAATGAGTTGAGAACTGATTTTCCCCTTCCATTTTTTTGAAAAGCTTTATGGATTGTTGGTATTGTGCTTTTTTAAATGCTTGAAAGAATATATCTATAAAGTCATTTGAGCCTAAACTACTTTCTTCTTTTGTTTAGTTTTAGTTTAGGTTTTGTTTGTAAAAAAATAATAATAAAATAAATAAATAATAAATAAATAAATAAATAAATAAATAAATAAATAAATAAATAAATAAGGACAACTTAATGTACTTGAAATCTGGATAAGTTTATTTACCAGGACTATACTACACAGCATAAGCCAAAAGTAAGCCCACCTCTAATTTGTAAATAATATTCTTTAACAAAGTAAATTTCAACTCCTATAAATTACTTCATTTTACAATGGACTATTTGAAAATATAAACTTACATTGAATATGGGTTGGATCCCCAATTCAAAACACAGAGAAAACAAAGAGTAATATGAAAATTGTTTGAGAAATTACAAAAAATCTTGCTAATGTGTTCTGGTGCCTGTTGAGAGACCTTGACAGTTGTTTTAGACAGAAATCAAATTCTGTCTAAATTCCAATTATATTAAATTCCAACTAAAACAATATTGTCAGAGGAAGCACTCTGAAATATTAGAAGGAACCACTCTCTAATGAACATACTTGTTGGTGCCCATGAAGGAAGTGTGGAAGGGTAGAATAAAAGACTTCGAATAGTCTTTCCTCCCATATACCCTCCTCTTCCTTATACACCTAGGGATCAAATAAATGAAAACATATCATTCCACATCTGAAAGTTTGCCAGCCCCTGTAGTATAAAGTAATTACATTGTTTTGTATTAATATGTCAGTTATTTTAACTGTACATAATGTTGTGACGAGATAGGAATAAAAAACCCAAAGAGAAAACATGAGTGCTTAAAATTGAAATTTTGTCTCCTAGGAAGTTTTATTAAGCAGTATCATAAAAATATCTAAGGCATCAGGTTCTAAAAATTGAATCCATATTTCAGCAATGCTCTCCAAAAAGTCTAGTGAATTCAACTTAATTATTTGTAGATAGTGTTGAATGCCATAAGCCAAAAAAAAAAAAAAAAATCTGGTAGATTTAAAACAGTATTTTAGAATATATGCATTGGTTGTTGCAAAAAGAAAGCATAACTGCTATTATTAGAAGTATTTGATTCTAAAAGGTAGGGTGAATCCTTATCAACAGTGTAAGGAGAAGTGAACGCTTAATTGTGTATGTTTGGGAGAATCACTAAGGTTCTATTTTAACATTCTGTACTCTTCACAATGCATGGAAACTCAAAATGAAGCAAACTTTGATTACATTAGCTTGTCTATGAATCATGGCAAAGAAAGGATATGAAAGAAAATTGTTTTAGTTTCTGAATTGATGATATACATTTGGACATTTTCTAGATGGTCTGAAAGATTTTCTAGTCATATTTAGCTTTACTGAATTATGATTCTCCAAATAGGCAGAAAATATGATGGTGATGATTTAAACAAAGGGACTTTGACTAGGACTGCCAGGGCTGAGTGCCTCATAACCCAAAATTTATTAAGAAAAGTTTCCAGAATTTGCATTAGCTCTTCTGATTAACAAACTAGGAATGGATCTTGACTATGATAATTATGGAATTACTAGTTGTTTAATGACTGGTAAATAGTGGACTTTAAATAACAAAATATGGATTCTGACTTTATGAAAATAAGCCAACAAAATATCTTATATACAAGAAATCCCACATAAAATGTGTACCTCATATAATGACACTAAGACAGTGAATGAAAAAGAGCTTCTTCAAAATTTTTGAATTCATAGAAGAGATGGTAAGTTCCAATATTTAAGCATTCTTTCAAGCAATTGTTATCTGTATGTTATCATTGAAATATTAAATAAGCAAATTCAGAAAGTAATTTTAAGGCAGTAAAGAATCATAGTATAATAGGACTACGAATATATTTAGGAGCCATCCAGTTCAATTTCTTTATTTCGAAGATGAAGAATCTCACAGTAACTTGTCATAGGTCAGTTATTTAAGGGAAGATATGAAGCAAAACCTAAATTTCCACATGGAACATTGATGTATTAATGTACTGAAGTAGTTGAAACATGAATTAATGAACTCTCTAAAGTGATATGATTCCCTTATCAAATACAGTCTTATATTTTAGTTGTTTTCCTGTACCTTCTTACATTTTATTCAAAATTTAGAGTCAGCCTCTAACTCATATTTTTATTGCTTCATGGTCCATATTGCAGTGACTTTAAATTTAGGAAATCTTAAATCCTATATATTCAGTCTTCATTACAACACGTGAATATCTATGTCTTCAGGTAAAATCACAATTAAGCAAATGGAAAGCAGTAGAAAAGATGTTTGATTTACTTGACCTTTCATTAGCAATTTATCATTTTATTCAACTATTTGGTTAAATTCTTAATATCACGATGCTGTTCAATGTCACACTGATGAATTTAAAATAACAAATCATCCTAGTACACTGCTACACTGCTGGTGGGAATGCAGACTGGTGCAACCACTATGGAAAACAGTATNCCTAGTACACTGCTGGTGGGAATGCAGACTGGTGCAACCACTATGGAAAACAGTATGGAGGTTCCTCAAAAAACTAAAAATGGAGCTGCTGTTTGACCTAGTGATTCCACTCCTAAGAATGTATCCTAAGAATTCTGAAACATTCATCAGAAAGGATATATGTACCCCGATGTTCATAGCAGCACAGTTTACAATAGCTAAGATCTGGAAACAGCCCAAGTGCCCATCAGTAGATGAGTGGATAAAAAAGCTGTGGGACATTTACACCATGGAATACTACGCAGCTGTAAAGAAGAAGAATCTCGTACCCTTTGGGACAGTATGGATGGACCTGGAGAATATTATGCTAAGTGAAATAAGCCAGGCAGCGAAAGACAAATATCACATGATCTCGCTTATACGTGGAATCTAAAGAACTTAATAAACTGATGAACAGAATAGATTCAATGACATGGAAGCATAGATGAGACTGATGAATGTCAGAGGGATGGAGGAGGGTCAGTGGGG